ATTTTTCAAACTTTTATAAAGAATTTGGGTATCAAGACGTCCCCACGTATACGGACGAGGACGGGTAGCAACACTTATTTGAAGAATCCGTGCAACATAGATACACAGAACATGTTCTTTTCAACTTTATATTGCAGTCATTAAGACTCTAGTCTTTAGTCTCCAGATTTTAATTAAAATCATTCAGACTCTAGTCATTCATTATTTTTTTGGCTTTGGAGTAAGATGGAATAGAGCAAAATGACTCTTAAACTATTTGTGCTTCTTCTGATAGTGGAGTCACAGTTAGTCAATGCAACTTTCGACGCTCATCATGGGTCATATGGAAACAGCCGCTCTATGTTTTAAGATAGGGGTGAGGCTGTTTACATCCGAACCCCCCTTACCCCGCAATTTGCAGGAGCCTTTGTGGCACTGGGGTCACGTTGTTGTATTACTGCATTCAAGCTCTTGAGTCTCGAACCCGGTTAAAATTAAGGCAAAAAGAACTTGATCATAGTAGAAATGATTGGTTAGGCTCGCAAGCAAATGAGGCAACTTGAGCTCAGGGTTGGCTCCATACAATCCGAATTTAATTTAATTTGGATTACCCCCCCCCCCCCCCCCCCACATCCCCCCAGACCGGGACCCAGTGTTTACTTGAGTTTGATAAGGATTACTCAAATAGCTCATGGATAGTGTGACTACAATTTGTGGTAGCAAGAGAGGGCTATCACATAGGCGGGCATGGGGGTGGGGGTGGGGGTGGGGGTGGTTCGGATAATAGTTCACCCATAGATGTTTACTAAGTTTACCTGTCGCGGGCTAGCTCTATTTTCAGGATTGCAGTCGGGACTAATCCCAATTCCTTGCAATCCTAGCCGGCTTCCGGGAAAAGCACAGATGCGCACCTGAAATATTTAAAGCTTTAAAAGAGTTCTTTATTGCTTCAGAAACTTTTCCAGACCTTAGTAACAAAAGAAAAGGAAAAATATGATACAAATTGCATATTTGGTAGTACAGTTCCTTCGAGCATTACCTGCCAGATTTTCTACCATACACTAACTTTATTGACCATAGGTGCCATATAAAGTGAAACACACACTTAATAAAGAATGGTGGGAGTATTATTTTACTTTCATGTATCAGGAAATGTTTTAAATTGTATATTTGAAGGATTGTCTAGCAAATTCAACCAATTCAAATTTTTAACCATATTTTAAGCAAATTCAGTCCATCAAGCCACTTCAGTTATTTCAGGCAAGTTTTACTTTCACTTGACAAGCTTAGATTTTTTGTTACCTACTTATGACTTTGCAAATTATAGAGGGAAGAAAATAGATAATCCAGCATGGGAAGAAAGTAGAATATACTGTTTCAGAGGCAGAAGTTGGTGGCATGAATAATGTCAAACCCCCATCGATGCAAAGTCGATTTCTGAACATTGTGGCAGGTCTTGGTGCAAGATATCTGCACTAAATGACTTTTTTTATAGTTAAGAAGTCACTCATGAAATATACAAACACAATAGCTGAGGTAGTGACAAGGGGAACCAACAGTGTACCCGGGAATAAAAGAAGATGTCATTACAGCATTTATGAGATCCTCTTTAGAATCAAACTGATCAACCAGCAAACCCCTTGGCCTCCACCAAAGTATCTCCGTGACCGCAACTACCATGAAGCAAGGGTATCATCACTTGGTAAGACAGACAAGTCAAATGCATAGAAGCAATCAAGGAAGAAAAAAAAGTAAAGACTTACTGCGAACTCTTCCATTGCACCTAATATGAATGTCATCTGGCAAAAGTTCCACTAAACTATCTCTGAGAACAGCCTGATGAGTGAAATGTGAATTTTTTTTACTGGAGACATTGGGGTTGCGACAATCTATAACATAATTCAAGCTTGCAACAACAAAATGGTACTACCCCAATTTGTCCCTAAATAATGACCACAGGTTGACTTTTCAAGATAATGTGTTGATTTTGACCATGATTTCCCCCCCATAAATTAGGCGTATTATTTTATAATATAAAAGTATGCTTTACCAATGTGTTTGAATATATGTCTTTGAACCTTTAATTTACTGTGCTTGATATTTCCTTTACAAATAATCTCATTTCTCAGACAAACTTTTCAAATGCTTAAAAAAAGAATTTATTCATATGATTGCACATCTCAAAATACATAAGACACCTAATATATGGGCACTCAGGGATAGTGCCCAGACACCTTAGTTGTCAACCTAGGCAGACAAAGTACAAACATCAGTACATGGTGAGAATGGTGCCCAGTACATACTCTTACACTTAATAAGAATGCCAAGTGAAAAACAAAGATATATTTTGGGACGGATAAATAATGACAAAAAGAAAAACAAGATGATCAATTTGGGACAACAGAAGTATTATTTTATTATATAAAATATGATTTGCCAAAAATATTTAATATTTTTTTAATATTTAATTCACTATGATTTTTACCAGTACACAGTTGTGAGTAATCATAGTCTCAATAAGAGTACAAGACAACAAAAACATGTACATACTCTAAAGTCTAAACAAAATCACACAAAGACAGATATATTTATCATATTCATGTAGTTATAACATTGAATCATGAATGTCTATACCCCCAGGCGAAATGCAGTTCCCCTAAGCCGGCAATCTTCTGCCAATACTTTTGTTGCTTTTAGTGCTTCTAGCATTGTCGCTCCGGATGCTATTACTGCACAAACAATAGCACCTGCAGATGAACCGGCTAACGGTGTTGTGTCCTGGTTCAACATTATTATTTTGTCATTAAAGACTAAAAAAATAATGTAATAATCAAGAATATACTCGTATGTTGCAAGAAGGAAGAAGAGGAAATGTGATTGTTTAAAAGAAACCAAAAGAATATATTATAGTTGCAAGATGGAGTCAAGAAATTTTATCATTCTATGACCTGAAATATGACTTAACTATAGATTCAAGACTCAGAAGAATACTTTTATAAATCTAAAACCAAAAATTGAGAATCTACCAGTCAAAGACCAAAAATTTCACACCACTGATGTATTTACTAACAGATCTAATCCGGCAAGTAAATAGATCAACAATAGTAATAGATTAAAAAATCTCTCACCCATGACTTAGCTTCTCCTTTCTCTCTTTTATCTCTTCGTCATTCTCCATTTTTCCTCAAACTTCTACTACCCTCACAGTATCACACTGCTTCATTTATAGGCTTCCCTTACCTCTTAATCTCATTCAATCTTCCTCTGTATTCATATATCACTTATCCTCTTCTCCACACAAACGTTGAAGCCTCAAACAGTAGCAGCTTCTTATCTTCACCGGCATCAATTGGAGATGAGGAGTGCCACCATAGTGAATTGTATGATTCCACTACTACTTTTGGACACTATCATTTCCTTGCATGATGTAATGTCTCGACTTTCAAGTACATATATATTTTGAACTAATGGAAGCTTTATATAGGCAAGAAATAAATCATGGAAACAACTCTTAAAAAGCCCAGAAATGCTAGACGGGGGGAGGGGGGAGGGGGGGAGGGGGAGCAAAGCCTTTAAAATCTCAACTTAGTCAATGTTTACTACCTTGCACAACCACCCATTTCACAAACCTTCTAGCTGAATGGAAACAGAAGAGAGACGAGTGAGTTTGTGAAGACGAAGCCTGGTGTAGATGTAAAAACGTATGATGAATCAAACCATAGTTGAGACATTAAGTTCCAGACTTCCAATATGTGTTTCTTAGCTGATGTTTATATCCATGTGGTAGCCACGTCACATCCAATAGAAACTAAAATGGTGTTAAATTTTTGAGTCTTCAATCAGTAGATTCTCATTCTTCATGCCTTATATTTAAAGAATTCCTTGTGAGTCCTAAATGACTACAGTTGACCCTTTTTTGGGTCTTAGACCGATAAAATTCATAGAATCAACAAGCACATCAAGAAGGAAAAATTGAGAGCAAAATGTTTCTCAAGTTGTAGTTTGTAATATTGCAGGGTGAGGAGCCATTATCAAATTTCTGCAAGGTTTTGGTTGAAAATATTACCTCTACAACATTTGTGACTGTGTGTGAATGAGGGTGGGGTGGGGGTTCCTTCTCTAGCATGTTGTGATTGAGTTGAGGGACAAAATTGCAGATGCTAATAAATCCCCTTTTGTATGAAAACTAAATTGCACTTCATATTAACTTAATAAAACAACTGA